AGGTCAACGTAGAGTTGCTGTGCAGCAGTTGCTTTTACTCAATTGCAACTTAGACGGGCAATTACATGAAATGATAAGGCCTACACTGTAATTTCACTGCTCCATTGACTTGGGAAGTGCAAAGGACTAGGACAATTGTGGTAATCAAAATAACTTGTGTGTCACAAACCCCCTAGAATGAGCTGTTAAACCTGCTCTGCTGCTCTCCTGAGCAGTGATCCAGATACACCTGAATTCAGGCTGCATGTGCTAAATTCCTAGCAGTTGGAAAAGTTAAAATACCCTTTTTAATGGTATCAGTTCTGCTTGTCAGAGCTTGCCTGAATCAGTGCTCTGCTGAAAAAATGACTTCTTTTTGCAGTAGGCTATCTTATTAAGATGCCCGGTGTAGCGTCTGAGATCTTCAGTGCTGTGTTGCTGATAGGCTGTCAACTGTTTGAGGAGATAGGGTTGAGAATTATCTATGCTGATCTGCATATTTTGCTTATCTATTATATGAAAGCAGATCCCACGCTATCAGCTTGCAAACACAGCTGGCTTGTTCTAAGCTATGTGACTCATGAGGCTGCTGAAGGATTGATCACATTTTTTTTTTAGCACTTGTATTTTGATTTTTAAACTGGGCTTTTTGGAATGGCTGTTGTGGTTGCAGAGCATCTCGTCTGTGGGACATCCTTCCTTGTGATCATGATTTTGTGATGCTTTTATAAAAAGAGCAAATAGCGACTGCTCTTTCCCACTTACTCTAAAAGAAAAAGGAAACGAAAGAACTCGGGATTATTTGCAGCTACTGTATTCGGTGTAAAGTGTAATGGGTCACTTCTCCATACAGAGTTGCTTTTGCGGTTTGAAATGCAGTGATGCCTCATGGTGAGCAAAGGGACCAACAACATGGGCCACAAAGATGATCCAAGGGCTGGAGCACCTCTCCTATGAGGATAGGTTGACAGAGTTGGGGTTGTTGAGCCTGGAGAAGAGAAGACTGTGGGGAGACCTTATTGTGGCCTTCCAGTCCCTAAAGGGCCTACAGGAGAGCTGGAAAGGGACTTCTTACAAGGGCATGTAGTGATAGGACGAGGGGGAATGGCTTCAAACTGGAAGAGGGGAGATTTTGATGAGATATTAGGAAAAAAAATTTCCCTGTGAGGGTGGTGAGCCCCTGGCGCAGGTTGCCCTGAGAAGCTGTGGCTGCCCCATCCCTGGAGGTGTTCAAGGCCAGGTTGGATGCGGCTTGGAGCAACCTGGTCTGGTGGGAGGTGTCCCTGCCCATGGCAGGGGCGTTGGAACGAGGTGGTCTTCAAGATCCCTTCCAGCCTATATTCTGTGATTCTATAAACCGCCTTCCACTTTGCTTGCAGAAGCACCAGGCTGTATGTAGCTCCACACATTTTAAGCTGGCAGTTTATTTTAAGTGGTCCTGTCTGCCTTTGGCTGCTTGTTGCTGCACTGTCCCCTCTTCCATCAGCACAGCTGCTTCTATCGCCGCATTCTGAACCATATTGAGGAACTGATCTGGTGAAACTAACCCAGCAAAAGAGAGAGGTGGTTAGTTTTCATCCAGATTGGTTCCCCGGTGTGATTCACTGAGCAGCTGCAGAAGCGCTTGTTTATTATTACTATTATTAGTACAGATGAGGAGGGCAATGCAGCAGGGTGATTTGGGTGATGTCAGTGATACCTGCACTACAACACAGTGGGTTTTTTGGTTTGTGGATTCTAATATCTTAAGCAAAAATGATATGAAACACATACAAAGTAACACTTAATAGAGATTTGAAAATTCACTCAAAATAATACTTATTGTTTGGCACAGAACAGCTGCAAGCCCTTGGTGAAGAATTTTAGAGTCTTTGAATTGTTTTATGGATATGTCTTCATAGCTGATGGTCTTCTGGCTAAAGCTAATTATCTGTGGTCAGGAGAGGTTAATTAGCTCTGAATGCTGCCTCTATAGATTTCTGAGGAAATCTGAATAATGCAATATAATACCAGTAACAACGTAGTGGGCAGATTGGAAGGTTTATTTTCAGGATCCAAGTCCCTCTGTCCTCGTGACCTCGTACTAAAGAATGTGAACAAGAAAATTTTCCATGTATTTGGAAACTTGTTCCCTGTCAGCTGTGCTAAATGGACAAGTAATGGGACAGGAGGGAGGAGGAGAGTGATGACCGAGTTGGAGATCAGGGGAGAGACTTTTTCCAAGGGCATGTAGTGATCGGACGAGGGGGAATGGCTTTAAACTGGAAGAGGGCAGGTTTAGATTAGATATGAGGAAGAAATTGTTGCCTCTGAAGGGTGGTGAGCCCCTGGGGCATGTTGCCCCGAGAAGCTGTGTCTGCCCCATCCCTGGAGGTGTTCAAGGCCAGGTTGGACGGGGCTTGGAGCAACCTGGTGTGGTGGGAGGTGTCCCTGCCCAGGACAGGGGGGTTGGAACTCGATGATCCTCAAGGTCCCTTCTGTGATTTAAAAAGACATTCATTACCTGTTGCATGTTGAGTCCCGAACTGTGTTGTGGTCTCACAGCCCCAAATTTAATGTTCTTCTTCCAATTGGTTTGGGAGAAGTGTGCCTTTAGACTTTAGGATAAATTCCAGAGTTTGAAAAGTGCAACAAGTCACAAACCATGGAGATAAGGACTGGGCTCGTGTCTAGAGATGCAGGTGTGGGTTATGACACTGGTCAGCTTTTTTCAAACCTCATTGTGTGTAGTGAAAGGCGAGAAACTTGTTTGGCTTTGCTCAAGGGCTGCTTCATTGGAATGTGCTACTTAAACCAGTCACACAATTAGTTTGCAATCCTAGAAAGACCTGGACAAAGTTGCCCTCTTTGCTAGATGCTATGTGGGCTATTCTTCCTGGGTTGTAAGGGATTAAAAAAAAAAAAAAATACATAAAAAAATGAAGGGAGGAATGAGCATGGTAGATGATGGATTTGTATGCTACTGAAGTGAAAGGTGAGAGATGGCACATAAAACCCCTTAAGAAATGGCTTTGAACATACATTGCACTCCCTATATAAATGATTCAAGGGTGTTTAAGTTGCCTGTAAAAACGGCCAGCAAAACTACACAGCTTTAAGATTAGATTTGAAATAACGTACAAGGTCCGTATATTTTTTTTGAGGCTTAATCTTTCTGTTCACATTCTTGATACCAATTTCTAACAAAATAAGGTCATGTAGTTCTGCAATTAAGAGGTTAGAAGGGGTGTTTGTTTTGTTTTTGTTTTTTTTGTTTTTGTTTAATTTTGTATTGCTAGAGGTATCTGGGCATCCCATCTCAGACTCTGTTTTTAGTTTAACTCATAAATAGACTTTGCATGAATGAGTCCACCAGTGGTTTTGAGTCTGTCACGTGAACAGAAATTTAATACTCTTCTTACATATTTCCAGAAAGGAAAACTAATATATCACTTAAGTGATATTAAGCAATATAAAGTGTAATATAGTCATTCCAAAACAGACAATGGGCTTTCAACTCTTGTTAAAAACCTTTTGGGACAAGCTGCAAACAGAAACGTTGTCTTTTTGTTTCAAAAGCATTTTAAATCCGTTTTCGGTCAATGCGAGAGTGTTTCTTTTAAGGTGGATCCAGACTTACAAATTAACAAGCTTTTGGGAAAAAGTGTACTGTAAAATGAAATCTGCGGTAAAAGGAGACACTAAACCAGTTGTTTGAGGCTTGTGGTGGTTTTGTGGTGATCCAAAAAGGATAGGGAGCCGTTTGTCAACACTGCCGTGGTAGATGAGCGACTGGTGGGTTGAGAGACTGAGTGGGAGAATATGATACTAAAGGATTTGGTGAGAACTTTATATATTTGAAGTGGCAGTTTGCTGAGTGCTAAGTTCATAGTAGTCTGTTTTAAGCACGCATGGATTTTCAAAGTTAAAGTAAGAACCAAAGTTAAGCAGTGGTTTTGGAATGACTGGACACTCCTACAAAATTGCTTTGCTAACTAGTTAAATTTAACAATAAGCTAGTAATGTTAAATATTTATCAAAGATGAAGGGCATAGTATGCTTTGAAGCTGAGGATTTTGGCCACAGCTATTAAAGCTATTTGGCACTTGGGGGGGGATTTATTCAATCTGATGATTTTTCATTTCAGAGATGGTATTTTAGCAAACTAACATAGTGGTGGAGTTGGATGAAATCACTTGAACTAAAGATTTTAGTGACATATTCTAGTGTATTCAATCCGAGAGGAAAGGACTCGGTTATCCAAACAGAAGGTAGCTGGCAGACATCACAAATTTGATTGTGCCCTTAAATTTCCCTGCAAATCTAGATATGTCTTTCTGGTGTGTTCTATTTAAGGTTGTTAGAGCAGTTTCTAGGATTTCTGTGAATTCGGGAAGCTTTGTCCAGCCAGTTCCTTACGGCTCTGGATGAGGATGAGGTGGTGGTTTAGGTTGGAGCTCTTTGTCCACTAGTGCTTGTTGAACATATCCTTGGCTCTGAAATGGCCCGCCTGGACGCCGTCCTGTGCAACCTGTTGTAGGTGCCCCTGCTCTGGTGGGGGGGTTGGACTAGATGATCTCCAGAGGTCCCTTCCAACCTCTGTGAAATGTTTCCAGTGTGATGATGCAGAACACCTGGGTGAAACTGCTGCTGTTTGGTGCTAATAGTGTCACATAATTGCTTAAAACTGCTGGAATAGTGGGGGAGATTTAGACATGTGGAATAAAAATTACATACAGGACGCAAGTAAGAATAGCTTGTCTTGTAGATCAGTGTTGCTTGGTTGGAGCTCATAGGTGCTAGTTGTTGCTTGTCCAGGCAGTTTCCTATGGCTTTGCTGAATGCTTATTGTTCACACTAGCTTTCTGCCAAAGAAAGTTGAATGTTTAGTGGGATATTTTTTATTTTTTTTTTTTTTTACAATGGTGCTTTGGAAATAATTGAAATGCTGTAATACAAAAAAAAAAAAAGGAGAAATGGTTCAGTTCTAATCTAAGAAAGTTCTTTAACTACTTAGCTTTGGGTTTTTTTCTTATTTTTAGCGCCGGCTTCGTCATCTTCGGAATATTGCAGCACGTAACATTATCAATAAGAATGGTTATCGCCTCTTGGATACGTACTTCACTCTTCACTTGTGTGATAATGCCAAGATATACAAAGGTAAACCAAGCTTGCTATCAACTTTTTTATTAGTTAATTTTTGAATTCTTATGATACGAATTCTCTCCTTTTTTTTGCCTTGACAACCTGCTGCCGTTATTTGTATCACGTACACTAGCAGTGGAAAAGAGCTCTTAGTTTCCTGAACTTTGTAAAAGCTTTCAGTGGTAGCAGGCAAGGAAGTAAAACAGATGACAGATCTGGTAGTCTCTTAAATCAGCCTCTTTTTGTTCCCCCCGCTCCCTCCCACTAATAATGAAGGAAACTTCAGAACTTCCAAGAGCACAGAAAACCTTTTGAAGCCTTTATTGCGTTGTGTGGGGGAGAGCATTCCGCTCTACATGTACCAGTTATCTTCCAGAGCATAAACCAGCACTTACTATTAACAAAGTTTTCCAAAAATAGAATTGTCGGCCAATGACAAGAGGCATCCAGGCATCTGTTCTGATTTTGATAACTGCGTTTAAGTGTTAGATCTCATTTCTCTTTAATGCTTTGCTTTCCACTACCATGTATAGTTTTTCATTGTGGAGAGATGTTATTAAAATATATATTTTTATGCTCCTTTTGATATGATCAACAGTTGGAGCTTTGCAGGCGAATTTTGTTTTTACTCCTAACTTTTATTTTCAGCTAGTGTAGTTGAACCTCGCTTTTTTTTTCTTCCCCAAGGTTGCTGTTTTAGAAAGATAAGAATCTGTAAGTTGAGCTTGCTACCTGGACTTTTTTGTGGTGGGTGGTTGAACTTGTAACTGATCACAGTTCTGCACTCCATCAAAGCTTTATCCTTGGACTCCAATGGACTGAGGGATAGAGTACAAAATCTGTATTCCCCCCTCCAGACCTGTCTACCTAAAGACTTTAAGCTCTTATTTTGGCTGGGAAAGCCAAGGTCCATGTGTCGGCAGTTGCTTATTTCCATTTAAATACAGGGTTCTTGGCACCTCTGCGAGGTAATTTGGCTGTTCACTTTCTAAGCATCTGGAACAGGTCACCCTTGCTCTTCAGGAAAGCAGTGCAATTAGTTTATCCGTGCTGCACTCCTCCTGGAAGATGCCATATGACAAGCTAGTCACTTTGCAAATGTCATCCAAATATTGTAGAGTACCGGGGCACAGTCTTTCCCCAGAAACCAAAGCCTCAGTAAGTCTTGAGAATTATTTTGGGTATAAAGATGAAATGCTAAATTGAAATAATGACTTGTAATAATTAAGTGTGAATGAGTACTTTTGGTCAAAAGCATGACTGCATTTTAAAGTCTTTCTTGTGAGTCTGTTACTGATAAACTAGACCCACTAGCATTTGTCTTTTATGAGTGTTACTTATTTTAGCTTTTTCTATTTCAAATGCTTAGATTTGTATCAGTGTTTAAGCTAATCTAAAGGTGTTTTTCTATTCATTTTTCTTTAGAATTTTATAAGAGTGAGGTGATCAAGAATTCTCTGGTAAGTTATTTTAATATGGAAAACCTTTCTTTTAAAAATTATGTATTTACTGCAATATATTGATTTCTCTGCTGAATACCATAACTGTTAAATGTGTATTTCCACTCTTCGGTTCTGTTAGGAAGCACGTTCTTCTCCTTTTCGGGTTCTTTTCACAAGGGTTGGAGTAGTGAGTTACTGAAAAGTAGCAATGTGTGTTCATTTTAACAGCTGTGGAGCAGTGGCCTGTTGGTACTCCTGCAGATAGGACTAAACGCTCCAAGGGTAGGGCATTTTCATGGGAAAACTGTTCAGTGCTCAGCTTAAGCTTGACAATATATATCCAGTTTAAATATTGAGAACACCAAAGAGGGAAAGTAATGTCAACTGGATTTTTACTGGTTTAACTTCTTTCAGTAGCCAAGAATTGCGTGCGTCATAACTTGGGTTTGTTTATAGTTCATCTTTTTTTTTTGCTGTTCTTGCTGGTGTTAACAGCAGAAAGAGCTGCTTTTATTTAAATGTCTGTGAATTGCTTATTCAAGGAGCACTTGTATATTACTTGGGGTGTACAGATCCGTTAGAAGCTTGTGCTGTGAAGTTCAGCAGCTCTGGTGTAGAAGCAGAGGCTCTACGTGCAACACCCCAAACGAAGGGAGAGTCAGAGTTGCAGAATGTACCACTGATTTCTTTGTACACCATTTTGTTGTATAGGTGAACAGTAAGAAACATTTACCTGCATATATAAACTTGTATGTTCTTTGAAGAGCTAATAGCTTTAAGAAACCGAAGTTTGAAAACGTCGTAGACTTTCTCTACTCTGGTGAGACCCCACCTGGAGTACTCCGTCCAGCTCTGGAGCCCCCAACATAGGAAAGATATGGACCTGTTGGAGTGGGGCCAGAGGAGGCCACAAAGATGATCCAAGGGCTGGAGCACCTCTCCTATGAGGATAGGTTGACAGAGTTGGGGTTGTTGAGCCTGGAGAAGAGAAGACTCTGGGGAGACCTTATTGTGGCCTTCCAGTCCCTAAAGGGCCTACAGGAGAGCTGGAAAGGGACTTTTTACAAGGGCATGTAGTGATAGGATGAGGGGGAATGGCTTCAAACTGGAAGAGGGGAGATTTAGATGAGATATTAGGAAAAAAAAAAATCCCTGTGAGGGTGGTGAGCCCCTGGGGCAGGTTGCCCAGAGAAGCTGTGGCTGCCCCATCCCTGGAGGTGTTCAAGGCCAGGTTGTACGGGGCTTGGAGCAACCTGGTGTGGTGGGAGGTGTCCCTGCCCATGGCAGGGGGGGTGGAATGAGATGATCTTCGAGGTGCCTTCCAACCTACACCTATTCTATGATTCTAAATTTTCCAGTTCATATCAGTGAAGGGACCATAACTGAGCAGTTTATTACAACGGAGAAGGGGTAGGCCCCTCTCTGTGGGAGTAGGGTGTTGTAAGTGTTGGGTAAGGGTGTTTGAAAACCTGCTATACAGACTTTTTAAAGTCTGCATCAACAAGGTAGAACTGCACCATTTATAGCCTGCTGGGACATAAATGCCTTAAAAACCTCCTGAATGGAGGACAAGCTGTCTACATCCACAAGGCTGTTAATTTGTCCAAGAGAGAAGTTGCTTGAGACTTCAGGATGTTGAGTTCTGCCTATTCTAAATCAGGAAGAGGAATAGCAAAAAGGGAATCTAACCAAAGGAAATATGAGATGGAATGACAAAAATCTAAATAAAAGATGTCTTGAGCAAATTCTGTACGTAATTTATGGGTATTTTAATGACCTGGTATTCTTGTGCCTGAATAGCTACCAAATATCCCTTCTCCTTAAGAAAACTTGATTGTTGCATTCCTTCTGTAATACTTACTGGGTAACTTTGCCCCTCCCTTGTTTTTAGAGGCATCTTGTTCTAAATTGCCTAATACCAGTTCAGAGGTGTTCCAAGCTGCTTAAGCACTAGATGAGAGGCTTGGTCTGTCATGGGATGGTGGGTTTCTGCCTTTTGCTTTTGTTTTGGAGGAGCTACCACTTCTGTTTGCAGGCGAGGAGGCATATATAAATAAAAAGCACTTTCCCATTTCTGCTTTTCGATGCCCTGTGATTTATGGCCTATGGAAGTCCTAAGGTTGGTATGTGGCTCTTGGCACTATAGGGTTGGGTTGACTTGGTTTGGTCGCGTCTTGGGCCAGTTACAACAGTTCCCATAAATCTTTAATTGAAACGTTATCAGAGGTGAGTCCAAGTTCTTGCAACATTTAGTGTTTGCAAACCTGAGTTCTAGTGGAATAGATGTTTGAAGTTTAGCTTAATGTGCGCTGCTTCTGTAAAGCTTGAGTTGAAGTCTGATCTCTTGGAGAAAGGAGGAGCTCTTGATGACGGCACTTGAGAATTGCCATTAGCATCAGTCAAGGAGGAGAAGAATGTGAACAAACCTGTCAATAAATTACACAAACTTAATTATTGGGGAATAGATCAGCATTTTAAATTTAACATTTGCAATGTAAGCTTTACCCTAGTTTTCAGAAGCTGAATTATAACTTGGAAAGGAACGTTACTTCCACTTTTAAAGTTCCTGGTTTGGCTGAACTGAATTAGTAAATTCTGAAGTAAATTCTTCAACATCTTGTAATGGAAGGAAGCAAAAGCCGCTCTGAATTTCTGAAGTACTTTACAGCATGTAGTTTAGTCCAGCATATTCTCTAGAAAATAGAATAAGGAAGCAGCAGAGCCTGTTGGCTTCGACTCTGTAAACCTTGAAATGGCTGCTGTTCATTATTCTTAAGGTATTTTTTAATCTGTGACATGGACTTTGCTACTTTCTGAATTGTCAATTTTAGGACTACTTTCAGCTTGTTTGACTTGTTTTTATCCCTTTTTGAATACCTACAGAATCCGACATGGAGGAGTCTGGACTTTGGAATAATGCCTGATCGTCTTGATACCTCTGTCTCGTGTTTTGTTGTGAGGATCTGGGGTGGAAAGAAGGAGCACTTTCAGCTCTTGATTGAATGGAAAGTCAATCTAGATGGGTTGAAGTACTTGGGCCAGCAGGTAATGTGAAAACAGTTGTTTGGGGTTTTTTTTCAACTTTTCCTTAAGGAAACAAAACATCTGGATGAACAAATATATAGAATGCCAAGAAAGGAAATGAATGATTTGAAGGGTGTATTTTAAAGTTTGATTGCAGATTCATGTTCATAGAATCATCAAATGGTTTGGGTTGGAAGGGACCTTTAAAGAGCATCTCGTTCCAGCCCCACTGCCATGGGCAGGGACACCTCCCACCAGCCCAGGTTGCTCCAAGCCCTGTACAACCTGGCCTTGAACACTTTGAGGGATGTTAGCTTACTTCAGAGCTTTAAATTTGGACTAGCTGAATATTTTAAGCTACCATTGGTCACTGAGGCTCTTAAAGGATACTGCTAGCACTCAGTGCTTTTAATTACAATGCCTCAATTCAAGGAAATAGCATTCTGGTTGTACATAGTTAAATGAACATAGATCATAATGTTTGTATATGTTACAGTTTTAATCCATTCTCATAGTAATGGTATCCCATCAAAGATCTTCAGTCCATGGAGTTTACTTTATAAGAATTGTTTTAATTGTTGTATTTGTCTGTTACTAGTAACCTTTTGAAAGAGGTGAGAAGTAAAGTGTTTTCTGTATTGCGGAGCTTATGGTAAAAGTGGCTCAAAAAGAAACACATATCACGTAAATAATAAAACCACCAAAAAAATACGATGCCTTTTCAGTCAAATAGATTGTCCTAATTCCAATGGGTGCTTTTTGGATTGATTAATTAATAGGATCTATTTAGAATAGATCATAGTTATTTCTCACTTTAAAACTGAGTGGTATTTTTTAAAAATTGGGATGTTTCAAAGCCTGAAAAGACACCTTTATAGGGAACGACTCCTCTAGCTTCACATGGTGTGTTGCTCCTGGCCAGCACCCCCTGTACTTGTGGGCTGGGAGGGAGCCAAAAAATTGTGGGTTGAGATGAAAACAGTTTAATAACTGAAAGAAAGAAAAAAAAATTAAAAAACAAAGGGCGAGGAGGGGAAGAACAACACACAAATGATGCAAGTCAGTCACCACCTCCCACCAGCAGACCAATCAGACTGATGCCCAGCTAGTCCCCGAGCAACTGGTATCTTGCAAAGGCTTAGCAGTGAGAAACAGGGGTCAGTATGATGTTCTATGGTACGGAATATCCCTTCGGTCAATTCACGTTGGCTCTCCTAACTCTGTCCCCTTCCAAGCTTTTGCCCACCCCCAGTCTACGCGCTGCGGGGGCAGAGAGGGAAACGGGGGAGACCTTAGTGCTGTGCAAGCACTGTTCAGCAACAGCTCGAACACTTGTGTGTTACTAGTACTGTTTTAGTTACAGATTTAAAGTCAGCACCAGAAGGACTACTGTGGAGAAAATTAACGCCATCGCTGTCAGACCCAGTTCCCTTCACAGTGTAGGGTTTTTTTCCCATTTTTTAACTGGGCAGAAGAAATGGCTCCCTAAAGCATGTTCTCTAGTGCATGATTTTATTTGAAATAATTGAAAAATTAGGTTTCATGTGTGTCTAGAATTACAGGTGCTGAAAAACTGCATTTGGCTATCAAACCGAACAACCGATGCTTGTTTGCCCTGTAAAATTAATGTTCCGAACATTAATAGCAGGATATTAGTGACAATACCGAACGCTGATTTTTGTCTCTACTATGACCACAGAAGCCCAGTTTTGAATATGACTTTAGGTAATATCATGTGAAAGCTAATTACTCTTGAGACCTATCTTTTTGATTAGTTTCCTGTTCTTAGTTATATTTGTCACCTGGAAATGTAACAATAGGAAAGATGCTCTGGCCAGTCTTTCTGATGTCAAGGTAGAATGGCTGAACATACTAGTGACTGTTATTAAAGCTGTGAAGCAGATGCATTTTCTTTGGTTAAATTCAGTTTTCTCTTAGGTTTCATGTGTGTCTAGAATTACAGGTGCTGAAAAACTGCATTTGGCTATCAAACCGAACAACCGATGCTTGTTTGCCCTGTAAAGTTGTAGTAAGCTGACCCTAAAATGATTTTGTTTTCTTCACAGATACATGCAAGAAACCCAAATGAGATTATTTTTGGTCTCAATGATGGTTATTACGGAGCTTCATTTGAACAGAAGGTAAGGGTATCTTGCATTTGTTCTGGCATGTTAGTACTGGTGACAAGCTGCAATTCAACTTCTGAACTTAAATTTTCACACTTGGGTGCTCAGAACATTAAAATACTTAGTTTTGAGCCGAAATACTTTTTTTGACATGACGGATAAGAACTGTTATCTCACTTCTGTTGCATGGACATCTGAGCAGTTCTGGGAAGACTTAAATAAGCACAGCATTTTCAGTCCAGAAAAAGCCTGGTTACTGAAAATAAACTTGGACTTTATTCTTTGGGATAGACACTTAATTTAAACGTAGAACATGTTGAAAATGGTGTGGCTGTTAAGACTCATTTTCATGGCAAATACAAAAGCATGTTACGTTTTGGTTCTCACTCTTAAAACCAGAGTTTGCAGCTTCTAAATAGGAAGCTACTTATTTGCTCGGTGTCACAACTCTTTCACCCCATGTTTTGTTTTTTTTTCCAAAGGCTCCATTGTAGTATATGTCCTTGTTCAGCCAATATTGTGTCTGCAGCCAAATTAATTACATGGCAGAGCTGATTACTACATTGACAGTGAAAAAGTTTAAACTTACCTATTGCAAATAGCACTGTTGACAGGGCTTTTTTTTTTTTTTAATCCCAAATTGCTGGTGGCAGTACTGTGGTATAGATAGGTTCTATGAGGAGTCGTTGGCTGGAGGGAAAATGACTCTCTGACACACAGCTACAGTTTCTGTGTTATCCGCAACCAGCAAGTCCAGTCTTCTGGAGGTTCGAATGGAGTCAATGGCTTATAGTCAACAACACAGCTGTCCCTTCGTACGTGGGGAGAGTGGAGCAAGGGACAAGGTGGTCGCATGTGCAAAACTCCCTGGCTGTATGCAAGCCTCCAAACTGTCGTATTTTGATGGTTATCCTTCAAATTGTAGATGGCTTAGTACACAGCTCGGGCTCTGCTTCCTGGTGCTGTTAACTCAGGTTTCCTGAAGCAGGATGCAATTCTAGTTTTTCATGATTTCGGTATTAATAATCTGGGACTGAATTCAACGCCAATTCACTGTTCTCTTTCTTGATCGTTTTGTCAGGACTTGCTTCCTAGCTTGTAAAGTTTAAAAACGCATCTTGGTTTTGGTTCTCCTACGTGCTCTGTAGCTAAGTTGCAAATACAGTCGTAGCCTATGTAGAGAACAAATAATCTCCTCTTTTGAATAATTTATAGGAAAGGACAGTTCTTTCTGGCTGCAAGTGTTAGAAATTTATTTTGTTGCCCTGCTCTGTAGCTTCCAATTGCTTCCTTTGTCAGGTCCTTGACCTAAATCTCTTCTTGTATAGTACATATCTCCTGTATTTAAGTGACCTATCTGCCATTCAAGCCAAACCTGTTGGCATGAGCAAACTCCTCCTCTAACCTTCAGAGGCTGTGTGCATCTAAGGGGTATTTCTGCTTTTAGTTGGTCTTGCTTCATAATTTTCCCGTCAATGCTGGATATTCTATATATTACACAGCCCCACTTTGATAGTTACACTAAGTATTTATGAAGTGCCACCTGAAATCTTCTGTAGGAAGGGAATTTTAATGTCAGGTCTGGTGGCTCTGATCCTGTGGAAACTGCAATACAGTTCCTTTTCTGCTTGGTTGTATGGGTATTTTCTAATGTCTTGAGGGGCTTTTTTCTTTGTGGTGGTGACAGTTCTTCATAATATTTGAAGACGTCTTAGTCATAAGCCTCAATTTTTGAGATAATACATGGATGGAACAGCAGTTTTAGTTTATTCACACTGGCACATGTGAGACCTCATTACAAAAGCAGATGCGTACAAATAGCACTTTGCAAGTCTAATGAAAAACTTGTGCACGAAGACACTTCAGTCTATGTTGGGAGTGTCCTTTATTTTTGCACATCTCAGTATGACCAAAGTCAAGGTATTGTACTCTCTCTTCCCCTCCCTACATTGCTCAAAAAAGCCCTGTTCCTTTAATAATCATTTTGACTGTCAATTAAGTTGCCAAATCAGATTTATGCAGTTTTACAATAAAGTGCATTTTATTAGTGTATTAAATGTCTTTGTCATTAATTAAGATCATTTATGAGCCAAAAATAAGAAAATTTTTAGAAGCTGACTAAACCGTTTTGGTGATACTTCATGAACTTGGAGTTGCAAAGCATACTGTAGATCTGAGCATTGCTTCATCCATCTGGACCTAAATGCAAATTCCCATTTTGTGTCGTGCGAATTTACCTGTGATGGCATAAGAAGGACATGGACCTGTTGTAGTGGGTCCAGAGGAGGCCACGAAGGTGCTGCGAGGGCTGGAGCACCTCTCCTATGAGGAGAGGCTGAGAGAGTTGGGGGGGTTCAGCCTGGAGAAGAGAAGGCTCCAGGGAGACCTTATTGCGGCCTTCCAGTATCTGAAGGGGGCCTACAGGAAAGCTGGAGAGGGACTTTTTCCAAGGGTGTGTAGTGATAGGACGAGGTGGAATGGCTTCAAAATGGAAGAGGGGAGATTTTAGAATAGATGTTAGGAAGAAATTCTTGACTGTGAGGGTGTTGAGCCCCTGGCGCAGGTTGCCCAGAGAAGCTGTGGCTGCCCCATCCCTGGAGGTGTTCAAGGCCAGGTTGGACGGGGCTTGGAGCATCCTGGTGTGGTGGGAGGTGTCCCTGCCCATGGCAGGGGGGTTGGAACTTGATGATCTTCAAGGCGCCTTCCAACCCAAACCATTCGGTGATTTACTAGGTAATGCGCTTGAGCTGCTGTTCTAGAACCTTCAAGCCCACTTGCATATAAGGTAACGTTCAAAATGCAGGTTTGTGCTCAAAATACTTGCTTTCTAGGAAGCTCCTGTCATCTAAAGGAGCAAAGTCGAAAAGTCTAGCAGCAATACTGGTGGAGAAATTCTAGGTAAGCAAGGCAATTGTAGTACAGCAGTTATTGTCTTAACAGAATAAACCAACCCTATGCAGGGCCTCAGAGCTGTTACTGACTCTTCACTTTTTCTTTTTCTACTGAATGTCTGAAGCCTTTAAATTCTGTATCCTTGGTCATATTTAGGTATTTGGAATTTATCGTTCTTCCCTATCTTCTGTCCAGCAGCAAGTTGACCATTGCTGATATGCAATGAAAAAATGAATGTTTTTCTTTGAGTAATATTCTTATTCAAGCTGCAGTTTTCTTGCTGCAATGGATACTTAGCTCATGGCAAGCAAGAAGTTGGGAAATAAAGTTTCAAAAGCCTTTGTGTGTGCCGTCTTAGCCCTGAAGGGTATTGCTGCTTTACTGTAGGTGTCTGACAGTGCTCATATCACTCCTCTTCTAGCATTTACAGCTTTTCTTTGTGTAAATACAAGTGTGTACTGCCAATATAGCTGCTTTGTTCTTAATTACATCTGACTTTCACGTAATTGTACCTCCAACTTCTCTATTTGTTCCAAGTTTTTTTTTAATTATTATTTTGTAGAAAATTATGCAGCAATTTTGCTGGAAGATTTCAGCAGGATTCTGCTTCTTTCATCACAACCATGTCCAATTTATTTTCCTGTTTCCTTTCTGGCATGGGAGCACTGAAGCACTTGTTCCTCTCTGAGTTTCATCTTTTCTTGTAATCATACGCCGAAACTCTTATTTGGATTTGCTTGAACTGGACCAATGCTTAAATAAGACAGATGTCAGCTGCAGAGATTTTTTTTTCTTCTTTTAAGCTGTCAACCTGGACTTAAAAGTTTCCTAATCCTTTAGCGGTTTTCTGAACCTGCTTGGTCTTGTCTGAGAGCGCAGGCTTGTGTGTAAAACCACTTTTTACCCAGGTTCAACAAAACCAGTTCTGGGTGCTATACTGGCTTTCCTAAAACCAGGTAGCTCCTTCTCTGGTTTCCTCAATACCTTCCTGGCTTTCAAATTTTCTTTTATGCTTGCTGCTATTAACTGGTAAGGCTTGCCCTTGCTCTTGTAGTGGTAACTTTTCAGAAAGTGCATGTAGGGAAGCAAAGTATAGCTTTTAGTTAATGACAAGCTTTCTGTTGTCTCCTTAAAGAAATAAAAACATAACTAGTCTATGCAGCTCTCTAACTCAAAACCTTTTGCTGTGGTCAGGGGTACAGAAGAATAAGTTATATTATCGTAGCTAATTCTTCAACCATCAAGCAAGAAAGACCCTTATCTCTGGAAAGGTGCATCTCTCTCTCTCTGCTGTAGGTGGTCTCCATCACTGCAGGTAGAGTCTTTCCCTCCATGTGCATTTTTTTAATTTTTAGCAGCTGGATCCTGGCCACTTTGCACAAACAAAGCTTTTTTGTGCGTTTACGAATACACGTGCCTATCTCATAAATGCTGTGGCAGACAATTAGACAAACTTCCCTTTCAAAGGGCAAACTTCTTTAATAACTATGTCTGAGAGCCTTCCATTGCACGTTCTGCAAGCTTCCTCAGGGTGGAACAGTTTGTATAGACCACTTGGTGTCTGATTCTTTGGGAATTTCCTTTCAACACACTGTAGTACAAGGGAAAAAGAAAAGGCTGAAATATGTTGCTGCTCCAAATTCTTTCTTTTTTGAAAGTGGATGTTCTGAAAAAAAAAAAAATGCACTTTGCTTTCTGAAGCATCGTTTCTTGAAACGAGATCAACTTCATGATGTAAAATAGTGACGCTGGTAGGTGTGGGGTTTTTTTTTTTCAGTTTTCCACCATCCTAGTTCATTCAGGCATCTTTATTTTCATATTCAATCTTCATTAACAGTGTCTTTATTTTGGTGGGTTTTTTTTTTTTCAGGGGCTATATGTACAGATTTCAGCATGTAGGATCCAACATCTTGAGAATGGAAATAAGGAATTGAGATAGCTGCCGATATGCATCATATTGCAATAGAGGCACCATAATGTAGTATATAGATCTCATGATTATTTAGATGGAACCTTATTTTTGCTGGGAAGGAATGTCTGCTGCATGGCCTGTGGCTAACAGTTGTGTCAATAGATGTTGACATGTAAGTCTGCATTTCAACATCCATATAGAAACAGGCTGTTGAGGCAGGAAGAAATCGGTAGGCAGGGATTGTGGTGCTCGGAGTACATCTGTAGCCCTGTGGGGAAAATGAGCTGATCGCTTGTACCAGCTGGGGCTACTTCGTACACTAAAATAAATGCCTTTTGGCCTACAATCCGTAAAGGGTCTGACAATGCTGCCAGGTGGTCTGACCTACTTAGAATTCGCTTTATCATGTGAAGAAACAGTTCTGAGTTGGTGGCGTTTCCAGGAATTTGTGTGACTATGCCTGATACGGAAAAGCTCAGTATCGGACCTGTGCAGCAGGAAGAATTGCTGGTCGTCTGTTACTGTTCTGATGCCTCTTGTGCAGAATGTACACTTTTGTCTCTTAAGAATGACATAAGGGTTTTGGTTTTTTTTTGTAACTTCCAGAAACTTGTTCACATAATTCAAAAGTAAAATTGCTTCAATCTTTTAAACGTGTTACAGCGTGGTTGAAGACCAGAGCTTTATCTCATGAGCTTGTGCATCTCGGGCACGTTACTGAATAGGCTCTCAGATCTGAAGCTGAAGACTGCTAGTACTGTAAACTGCATCCCTCAGTATTTCTGTACATAAAATATGTGCAGTAATAGATTGTAAAGTTCAAGAAAACACACTCCATGTCTAGAACGCAGATGAAGTGATAGGTCATTAACATCTTTACAGGTAAGTGCTGTTGTAGGCCAGACTTGAATTTGGTGTTATTGCCGCCTTAAATTGTTTCGTCCTATTATACATAAAACTGTATGAAGACATGTTTAAAATACATTAGATGCAAGATTATTTGTTATCCTACCAAAAGTGCATGCTTTTAGTCAAGATGGAATAATTTTTGATTCTTAAATTAACATTCTTTCTTTGCCTTAAGGATCACTCAGGTACCCTGAAGAATAGTCTTCTCCAGGTGGATCAGAACTGTGTTCGTAACTCTTATGATGTCTTCTCTTTGCTTAGGTAAGGTTTTTGAGAATATTCTGTGTAGCTATTGTAACTTCTTTAGTATGCGTGGGAAAAGCCTTTACAAATATATAAAAAAAACCCCACTCTTTTGGACTGGAGATATCTACGTAGTGCCAATTTACTACTTGTAGCAAGGAGATAGGCCACGATGTACATCTCTCGGTGGTCTCTAGGCTTCTGCCATGTGGATGCTTGAGCACTCTGAACTAGACCTGGCTGCGGAGCTAACCCACGGACTTGCCTTCTGAATGTTGAAATCACGGAGCTTCTCTGTTGGAGATCTTCTGCAGAAAGCCCCTACTCTCTTCTCCTCAACAAAATTAAAATCTATTTAAATAAATGAGAACAGTGGAAAACAAGCAACTTGCTAAAACTTGGTAGGATGATGCTGTAGTTGAAACATACCACCTACACACCTAAGTGCGTGGGGGTTTTTTTGGTTGTTTTTTTTTTAATGTTGAACCACTGAATTGAATTTGCTTTTTGTGTAATTCTTCCTTGTAATCTGGAAAAGAGGCAGTACACAGTCAGGACCCAGTTACTCCAACATGGATGGTGTAAGAAAGGTATGGTAACTGCACTGTTGGGTGGCTACTTAGGTGTCTCTGGTGGTGCAAAACACGAAATGCTAGTAGGAAGGTAAACAAGAAGGCCTTTTTCAGATCTGCTTTAATTATAACAGTTCAAGAATGTTAGCTGTGGGGAAATAAAGGTTTTAAACACTGTCGGTAGGTTGGTTTTGAGGAATTTGTATTTAAAAGGCACTTTACAAGACAGGTTGATAACTTCAGTTCTGCAATGATAGGAAGAGATGTTCTACAAAGGAAACCCTTGAAAAGGAAAAGTTTAATATGTTTGGAGAACTCTTTGGAAAGATGCATTTGGTTTTTTTATCAGTGGTAAAAATTGAATCCACTTGATAGTGGTACCAGTAGGTGTCACTGTTGCCTGCGTGAAGCATTAGCTCTGTATTCTAAGGTGAAGAAAGTAGTAGGAAAAGTTAACTCTAAGTTGCTTATTCAGAAGTCTCTATTTTATAAGCTCTCTTAAAATTTAAATGCGCTGTTTCTTGATTCTGCAAAGCATATTTAAACCAAAGGCTGCTTTCTAAATGTCTGTCTTCTCTACTTTTAGTGGAAAACAACCAGGGGGCATGTTGTAACGTTCTGGTTACATTCTGGCACAGAGAATTCTTATACTACCTAACTTTAAGTCTTTGTTAAATAGAAAGAAGAAGGTGTGTGCCGGTTATCCTTATTGCTTTGTTCATGCATATTTTTTTTTTTTAATTTCCTTTGCACTTCTTTGTAGTATGAAGCACGCTCCAGAAAAAACACTATTATACCAGCCGATCATGAACTTGACCGACTGGAGCCCTGTCTACCCCTGTCTAATCTGAGCTGTGGTCCTTCTCCTGAACGTGTCTGATTGTCATAAATCTGATGAGAGATGAAGATGTCAGTTTTGATTAAAGCTTCCCTTGCTGGATGTTCACCAGTGCTGTTCTGAAACCTGATTGTCTTGCAGGTCTCTTGCGGTTTCTAGCCATGCTCTTGGGTGTAGCTCCTGTTTAGCCGGAACTCGGAGCTAAGACGTCCTCCTTTTTTTGCTTTGTCCTAAAAGGAACAGTTTTTTTCCCCATCTTCAGGACCAGGCCTGCTGTCAATTATACTTCAGTGGATTCTACATTCCTGTCAAGGAGTATATATTGCATTGTGTAGTTCCAGAAAAAGTTAGAAGTTATAATCTGTGACCATACCTAGTGCTATTTTTACCTGTTTGCTTCCTTGCTAGGAAAGTTCTTCAGGAACTGAGTGTTGCGGATGGAAGTATTTGACAGTTATGATTTAGCAGTGATTCAAAATTTATTAGCGAATAAAGAGGCTGAATTTTAGCAGCATCTAATCATTAACTGATTTAAAGGTTTACAGAGTGATTTGACTAAATAACTGAACAGTGACTTAATTACAGGTTTGAAGACGGCAAGATTTACGCTAACTTACTATAAAGTATCCCAGATCAATATATATACATATGAGCAAAAGCACAGATCTCAAAATAATGCGTATACATATAAGCAAAGCATGTAAGTGCATGTGCACACACTCACACACCGGTCTACAACTGCTGAGATCAAGGATCTCTTAATATAGCATGACTCTAACGAGCTGTTGGGTAACCCTTCCAACTCCTATGTGAGCATGGACAAACAGAGAAACATCCACATCCATAAAGCTAACGTATATTTGTCATAAACATGTAAGTGGAGAGGTGGATGAAAGAGGCTAGCCTATAGTTAAAATTTCCCTTTTCCCAAGTTTAGGGTAGATGCTCACAATGCATTGGCATTCTTCAACGGGCAATAATTGGGGCTCGAGAAGGTTGACTCGCCCTGGCCTTCTAGTCCTCAAGGTGTCATCCTGAGCCGTGTCCCAGCTCAAGGGAGGTGCTGCTTGCAGCCTGCTGTGATCCAGAAGAGCTCCAAGTCTTCACTAGAATCGCTACTTATAGGATCCGAGATAATTAACTTCTGTCAGGTACTTCTCCACTCTGGCCAAGCTTGGATGATGGAGTATTTTGGTACTTCCCATGGTTACATGAGCCCAGGACTTGCTAGGACTTGTGGTCCTGCTACCCCCCTCTCTGTGGCCACGATCCATATGTTGTCAGGAGTGATCGATTATGGTTATTATCTTCAAACACTAGGAACCATAGGAGCCAAGCACACTAGGGAGTTGCCGTAGTGTCCTAGTCCGTTACTCCCCACCTTCAAATGGTAGGAGCTATGGGAACCAGGTACACTAGGGGGTTGTTGTAGTGTCCTAGTTGCTCTCCACCCTTTCTTTCTTTCATGTTAGAGCATTACGTATTATTCTGATTGCTGTATTATCATGTGGCCCAAGTGGGGAGCAAATCATGCCAAGTACCGAGAGGCCTGAGGCCGCGGGGGAATATTGCACTGCCACACTGAGGCAGTCATCTGTGTAGTCCTGAATTCTTTCTACTCTCTCTCATGTTAGCTCTGCTTCTTTTTTTTTTTTTTTTTACAGGTGCACTTTCTCTACTGCTGCTTATCTTTGATATCTAGCTCAAAAGACTGGTGATAGCTTTTATTGCTTTTAAAATAATCTCTAGTCTCTTTTTGTCAGGTGTCATCTCTTCTCCTACCAGGCAGAACTGGTTTGCCATCTCCTCCAGGAGTCCAGCCTTGCGTCACTAGCCTGTGAACTCTTTCCAAAGATAGCTTTTGTGAGAGCACGTTCCGCTTACAACCAGGAGGGAGAGACGGGCATAATTTGAGCTGTGATTCATTTGACAGGACGTGTACTTTGGGAGGAGATGAATCGCCATCTGCCTGCTTCTGTCCGTTGACCCTAAAGAGAATAGGGAGGTGTCTACACTGTGCAGGTTTGCATCTGATCACATAAATCCCTCATTTTGAAGACTTTCTCATGACACAATATTTGTCTGTGGTCAAAATTCACAAGCTGCACATGTGGTTTCCTAATGTTTTTCATGAGACGTCTGAATATGAAGAGCAGCTTGTACTGGCTTGGTTTAAAATTCTCAAAAAAGGAAGCAAGTTCAGTGATGGTGGTATCTGCATCCCAGTTATTCTGATGGTACCGTGCTGCCAGGTGTGGCATAGCCACTGTGATCAGCTGTACAGTAGGAAAATCAGTTGAGAGAGCAGGTTCTAGTGTAACCCTTAACTCTTGAAAAACAGCAAAATGAGAACTTCTATGGTTGACCTCTGTCTGCTATCAAAACTGCTTTTTTAGGGAAGAATTGATTGCTTTTTTTTTACTTCTCAGAAGAACCGAATATCTGGAACTTATGAAGCTTGTGAATAGGCCTTAATGAAAAGCACGTGCTTGGCTCCAATTACGTTGAGTAAAAAAATTAATTAGGAATGCCAGAGCGTGTGAACAGTAGAAAATTTTTGGAGTGTTGGATTAAAATAGTGCCTGTGTGCTCGGATGCTTAATTACATGGATTTACAAGTTAATTGAGCAGGAGGAAAAGTTTAAGTACCCAGACAGCTCAGCTTCACGCGAGGAAGTTCTCAGCAACTCTGTAGCTCATGAACCTTCTTGTTTTGGGGCAGGGACAAGATCCTCAGGCAAACGTAGTGGTGATAATAAGTTATTCGTGCCATATGGAAATGACGAACGTTCTTCCAGCCACTTGTTTTAAAAAGGCCAACTAACAAAAATTAACCACCCCAACTGGAAAGCTAAAATTTTGAGGTTTTTATCCCTTGGCCATATTGTCAGATTTCCTGAAAAGAGGTCACTTAAAGGCTTTCTAAATATTGTGTAGCTGGTAGTAATAGGTTATACAGTAACACGTTTCACCTTTCACATAACACTTAAGATGGGCCAAATACATCTGAGGTCATGTTCTGGACATGTCTCCATAATCAAGCTCTCGGCACGTTTGCAGCACTAATGGGAATAGACTTATATTTAGTATTCTCTTAGTTTTCTATCCTTCCTTTTCTTTAAACTTTGAAAAACAGACCTTTTGGTTTTTAGTGGTGTTGGGAAGATGGGATATGCTGGCAAAAACTAAAGAAAGGGCTTAAAATCCTGTATGTTAAAATTTGACTTCAGTTTCTAAATACGAAAAGTAATATCTTGTATTCTGCAACAGCTTTTTACCGTATTGTGACACTTAGGGCAATTGGCCTGCTAATAGCTTTTGTGCCTCTAAATGTGTGAGTGCCTGAAATCCCCCCAAATTCTGCCTGGAGACAAAAAATGCTCTAAGAACTTGTGAAACCTGTCCCTTTGAAGTTTTGCTGCCTGTGTTTTTAATCTCTGCAGTCCAAACCACTTTCTTTAGGGTTTAACCGTTCCATCAGCAGATGGGATGGCACGTCTCTGCTATTTGGCCAGCTAGTTAGTGCAAATTGAAAATATTTTGATTGTATTTTTTTTAAATACTGTTTTTTTAACAGCAACAAAATCTGATATTGGTACAATGTGAGT